TTGTATGAGACACCAACAAAACTCCTTGTCACACCAAAGATGAAAGCAAGGATTATAAGAGCATTCACCAACTAAAAACAAGGACACCGCCCAGAAGAGTTGGGGAAGATTCCGTAGTCGTCTGAAGACCGTGGTTGAAGCCAACGGCAATTTTATTGAATTAATTTTCTCTTTAGTATTTCAAGATATATTTGTAATTTTTCTAAATATATCTGTTAAAATGAGTGTGCCTCCGACTGGAATCGAACCTGTATCCCCTTTTCCATCATGGAAACCGTTTCTATAGCTGAAACGTACCTTTACCACTTCGGCAACGGTTGCCGCATTGATAGAGCAAGGTTTGAATTACCGATTTCAGTATTAAGAATCTATATCTGCTAGCTTCAGTTTCGTATTCGAAACGTAAACAGCAATTTTTTAATTGATTTGATGGAAAAGTGGATCCAAGTTCGATTCTTGTCGGAGGCACAATCTTTCTTCAGCAGGAGTTCTCAATCTAGACCGCTTTTATTCATTTAAATTATATATATATATATATATATATATATATATATATATATATATATATATATATATATATATATAAAAGAAGAAAGTAAGACAAATGTGTGGAGTTTCAGGAGAAAGAAAGCAAAATTAAAAGGAAAACATTCTTTCTTTAAAAAAAGCAATAACGTCACCGTTTCTTAAATCGTTTTCAAAACAAAAAATCATCGTATTTTTAAATACACACACACACACATATGTATATATGTGTGTATGTATGTATGTATGTATTCATTTTTCTCGTTGTATCATTCAATATTACTCTTAATTCTTCCTGCTTTTTTTCTTTAATATTTTCTCATTTCTTTTTTTTCATAATATACATTCTTCTTCTTTTTCATTCATGCTACGATTTCTTTCTTTTTTCTTCCACTATTACACCTATAATCGTCATTATCTTTAATTCTCTTTTGTACCGTATTACAATGGGGTGCTGAAAAGTTTCCTGCCCGACCATATCGCTACTTTTCGCTTTTTATTCTTCTCTTTCTTCTCTATCAATGATTATTTTAGAATATTACATAAAGAAATCATGTAAAAACGCTACACAAATTCAATCATGTTTCGATGTTTATCAACACATCTCATCAGGCGTTAGTAAATGACTGGTGAATAGACAACTTATTGAGATTTAAAAACAACATACCCCCTCTTTACATGAGAAAAGGAAGAAAAGAAAAAAGTAAGAAAGAAAGACACACGTCTTTCTCGGGAAAAGGAAGAATATGAAAAAGAAGAGAGTTGATAGTAGCAGGGTTTGTTTTGCTTATATTCAGATCAACCAATCGGGAAGTTCTAAACAATAATACTTTTGAATTTGATAACAAAATCTATATCCAAACCCTAGGTACTGCAGTGGGAACGAAATTGGCACCTACATATGCCACCCTAACATTAGCTTACCTAGAGGAAAACCTATATGAAAAGATAGAACAAATATATGAGGAAAATATAAAAACCCACTTCACTAAATCGTGCAAACGATACTTAGATGATTGCTTCATTTTCTGGAAATCCTCATAGGGCGATATTAACCAATTCCACACTCTATTTCAGAACTTACACCCAAAAATAAAATTCACCCAAGAATATAATTTTAACGAATTACCATTTTTAGATATACTCATACGAAATAGAATCAACCACATAATCACAGATATCTACCACAAACCTACAGACACCCAACAATATCTTTATTTCAATAGCCATTACCCAAAAAGCTGTCTGAAATCCATCCCCTATTCACTAGCACGTAGGGTTTGCACTATAATAACCGACAAACACCCCAGAAAAAACCCGCTTAGAAGAACTATATAGAACTCTAAAAAAAACGAGGCTACCCCACAACACTAATAAATAAACGTTTTGAACTAATAGAAAAAACATCTAGACCAATGACGTAATCCAAAAAAACGTAACGTCGGACAAACCCTAGCATATATCTCAACATACAATAAAACAATCCAGAACTATTTAAGGAAATTACAAGAAATTTAGACCTACATAACAAAATGACAAAATGAATGGCCAGATACACTGGCCGGACTGCACACATACATACACGTATCCATGAAGAACAAAAATACATATGCATACACTGGCAAAAACAGATAGACTACTCACTGTCACACACACGTGAATCCTGCGCAACACAGGGAGAATGTGTATGTGTGTGCGTATGTGTGTGGTTCTGTATATATATATATATATATATATATATATATATATATATATATATATATATATAAACATATATTTTGTGGTACAAAACTTTATGACTGCCATAAAAAGACAAATTTTTTTTTTATTACCACTCAGGATAGATAAAAAGTAAAACTGAAAAACGGGCTAGCTAATGGAACCCAAGGGTCTAATTAAATTAGAAATGAGCGATGTTCAAAAACCGGTGAGCTAGCCTGACAGTATTAGAAGATGCGGGGGTAGGGAGCATCTATCATCAGCACATCTGTCATCGCCACCACTAAAACCAAACCTAATGATTTTATTACCAATTCTTAATTCTCTCAGACAGATCTTCACTACAAACGTAACAACATTGAACTTACAATAGACTTCACTTTTGAAACTGAAACCAACTACACTTTTCCCTTCCTAGATATCATATTACATAGAAATAATAACTAACTCAATTTTGGCGTTTACAGAAAACAAAAATGATCTGACCAGTTTCTACTCAAACCACTCTTCTAAAATTAAATCTGGAATTATTATAGGTTTCTATATGAGAGAATTTGCAGTCCCCAATATTTACCTAAAGAAGAAACATACACAGAAAACACATTCAAGAACCTACAATACCCATTTCGTTTTATCCACAACGCAAGAAGAAAGGCATACAAAATATACAACCGAAACAAAAATAATAACATAATCCGCAATAATAAATTATATAAAAACAGATGCATAATACTACTGACGAACGCTGTCATGTTCACTATCCAGAACAATATATCCCATCTAAATAATCTTAAAATAGTCACAAACACTTCCGAAACAATTATGGATATACTCAGATGCTCAAACACTAATAGCAATAATATTTCTGAAGCAGGCATTTATAAAATAAATTGACAAAACTGTTCCTCCCAATATATTGGAGAAACAAGCAGAAATTAAAAAAGAGCATCTATGAGCACAAGAGACCTCACAAAAACAACTTAACTAATGCACTAGAAAATAATAATACATAGAAATAAATTCAACCACAATTTTGATTTTAAAAATGCTACTCATAAAAAATAACTCACTCAGAAGAAAAATCATCGAGAGTGCCGACATTGAATATTATCCAAATATTAATCTACGCCCAGGTTTTTTCCCTATATCACCTTTCCTAACAGAATTACTAGTCTCCCAAGAAAACGTACACAACTGTATCAAGAAATCAATAGAAAATGGTTGAATCCGGCAACACAACAATAAAAACAATATTTCCACACGTGACAGTACTTGACGTAATTTTCAGTTGATAATATGAATACAATATAGAGTTTTCTAAATTCTTCCAATTGCTAAGGACATTTTGCTTTGTTGTTAATAGTTACTTTGTTTTAATAAATTCATTTCATTTTTGCCTTGAAAAAGTCCACTTTGTACGAAACGCGTCGGCTAATATTGCAGTTTTCCTGTCTTTTACCTTTATATATATATATATATATATATATATATATATATATATATATATATGATCAAAATGTTAGGGCTTGCAAATATTAAATCTTTGTTAGCCGATTCTAGTACTAATATGTTTTCAATTTCACTTTCCTTTCTTTTTCAGGTTGTTTGAAGAATTCCAGACATTGTCTATCGTAATGGAACTGAAACGTCATTTCAAGACGAAGCCTGGTGAAAGACAACTCAATACGATGCCATGGATAAAATGACACTGTCTTAAGACAAGCCAATAATCACAAGAAGCAATTCTTCGGTTACAAGAATAAAAGCAAATTGCCATTAAATGTTAGATTATACAAAAATTATACTTTATTTTTCGTTGAATATTCCATAGCATTTACTTCAATATAAGCCCGAGATATTTTTTATCTCATATTCGGTTTTTACAACTGTTTTTTTGTTTTGTTTTGTTTTTTAGTAGAAAAATAAGGATTTAAAATTTTGTTATTTAAAAAGTAAAATATCGGTCTTTTTCTTGATTTATTCAAACTTGACAGTTCGTAATTATCGATTTGGGTTTCCTTTTAGTAGTTATTCAGAATATTGCTTATCGTAAGCAGTTATTCTGCTGAGCTGTTTCAATGGATTGTGATATCTACAATTACCCTGTTTGGATTCGGGCTCTTTGTAATAATTTACAGCATGATCAAATCTTTAATAAGGAACCAGCTTGAAATAATGGCAAAGAACCGAAGAAATTCATAATGAGGCTGCATTGCTTTTGGATACAGTGTTTTAAACAAATGAATAAATGAGATATATATATATTTTCTTTCATTCCCGAAATAAATTCGAAAACAAAACTGAGAAACGAAAAGTGACAAAATCAGGGGAATAAACATGACAACATAATTGTTAAATTTTCACCACAATTTATTTTTTTAATATCGCAAATTCGTCTTTTCAATAACACACGCCATAACACGTATTCATTGTTGCTTTTTTTTATTCATCTAAATTTCCTCTTTATGTAGGTTCAGAGATACTCAATATACTATATATATGTCTATTCGTGCAAATATGTATATATACTAAAAAAAGAAAGAAAGAAAGAAAGAAATATAACTGAATTAATTCTAAAACGCGAAATAAGACTAATAATAATAATAATAACAATGGAAGAAATTCCTGACGAGAAATCACTGTACAGTTCTGTAAATATACCAGGGACTATCCCAGAACTGGATGACAAAGAAATTCCTGAAGAACGACCCAAGCCGAGCTTAAAGAAAATTCCAAGTAATTTGCTCGCACAAGCTATGGGATGGAACCAGGAGATGGCAATGTCCCCAGGAGACAAAGATCCTTCCTCGGGGGCGGCAGGCAGCAGTAGTGAACCTTCCAGTCCTTCGATCAGCTGGCGAACAACGTCAATCAATGAGTCGTTGATCTCGCCTAGCAGCTTCCTCCGTTCGAAACTGGTCGAGAACATCACCCTGAAGAGGATGGGTAGCGAAAGCCCCGATCAGGACGGCTCCACGGGTGCCGCCAGTTTTTCTCTGTTCGGTCGGAGCACGGAGAGCATGTTCGGATCGGTCAGTCGCCTTTCTTTGAAAAAAATTCCAGAAACCGACGCAAACGGAACCTCGAAAAGAAGGCCAGTAAGGAGCAGCACTTTTATGGACACTACCGAATTCTCTAAAAACTCTTCTAAGAGCGGGCCAGATGCACTAAAATTACCCGATAGGGCCAAGAAGAGAAAAAACACCGTAACAGGAGCGCCCGAATGCTCTTCACGAAAGATGAGCGCGCTCAGCGTCGGCAAGTTTTTGCCAAGTCCCGCACTTAGAAGGGACAGCGTCTCTCGGTTTGTCAGCACTCTGTCAATTGTGAGTAGTGTATCGATCGACAAGTCCTACTTAGCTGAGCGGGTTTCGCTCCGTAGGAAAAGTAGCGTTCAAAGTCAGCGGAAACAATCAGGTATCTCCGTTGATGTAAGGCCTGATATTCGTCAAGAATTGCAACTTCCGATCGAAATGAAAAAGCCTCAATATTCAGCTCGGAAGAAAGGTGCCGTACTGTTTTGTTGTATATTGATGCAAATGTGCGTCTCAGAGATCTTCTCATTGGGCCCAGTCTATTCGGAACTTTTGAACGTCTTCAAAACAAGCAAGTCAGAGACCAGCCTTGTACAGTCACTGCCTCAAGGAATTACTTATGGTTGCGGTAAGTAGCGTTTCAGTAACAATTTTCGAATGATGGAGCAATTAACACGTTAATTGCTAGCTTAATTAAATAAGCAATATCTCTTTTATAACAAAATCAAAGCTATTGCAATGTACGGTATTTAAAAAAAAATAGCGATAAAAAATAATTACAAAAACGATACATTTTTTTAATCATTTCACGCCAAGCAAGGCGATAATGCCAGGGGGTGGTTACAGGGAGTGAAAGTGAATAAGAAAACTTTAGTGGGGAGGACTAAGGAAAAAACAAAGATAGAACAAAGTTCAAGACAGAAGATAGCGATTGATGTTGCATTTAAACTTTTGAAGATTGTTATTGACAGAGAAGCAAGAAATCGGAAGGGGGTTCCACAGGCGAGAAGTGCAAGAAAAGAAACTATTATAATAGAACTGACGGTTTCGTCTAGTTTTTTTCAACAGTAAAACAGTCAAGACCTAATTACCAATCTAGTAGTAGACTTAAATTCATGCAGTCGAGGCAATGATTTGATTTGATTATTTTTTACGGTTTATCAAACCATTGCAGCTTATTTAAAGTCAGAAAATATTTTCTTTCGGGGATAATAATGTTTTACTGATACACATCTTACTAATTAACCCATAGCTCAGGAGGGCAGAAGGTTTGATTCCCTAGAAAGTAAATATAACAAACCCGACTGTAATTTGAATTCGGTTCTCTGATTTACAATTTCGTGACGTTATCCATTACACCACCCGCACATCCAAGCTTACAGCACCTAGCATTCGCAAACCGTCCCAGGTGTTGTATATATGGAAAAAAAGTTGAATGAAGTCGGCTAGGTTATGCATCTTGATATATCGATTTATTGATTGATTGTTTTCTACGGCTTATCAACCCTTTACAGGTTATTTAAAGCCAGAAAAATACTTTTAGATTGTAAGAACGGGAGGAGATATAATACTGATTTAGTGATACACGTATTACTAATTAAGCTATAGTTGGGGGAGAAGAGGCGGATTCATACCTTTCCCAAGGGTATTTGCGTGTGAGTGAATATAAGGAACCATAGATGTAAATTTAAAGCTGGGCTTTCTTGTATTTTGAGCATTTCTCGATATAGAATTGTATTTCAGCCCCACACTACATATATAAGATCCTATAGATAAAATCCTTATTAGTCTGGAGACGTCCTTTCGGAGGACGAAACCCGTTTATGTTGTGCCATATAAAAAAAAAATGATACTCCTTTTTGCAGTTTAAACAAAAATAACATTTTGAGTGGTGATGACGTCTAACGTTCTCAGAGAAAAGTGCTACTTATGCCAGGTCGATCGTCCTATCAAGTTATTCTTGTAGATTAATTTTCAGTCCAGAGATCTAGCTGTTTAGCAGGCCACAAAACTCATACAAACAATCGCCAGCTATTATAGTAATAGATATATATATTTATTTTTTCCTTTCGCATAGTTTTCTTTTTTTTTTCTTTCTTTTTTTTTTTTTTTGCCCCTAACCATTTTTCTTTCACACCCTATTTTTCTCCCTTCTTTTCTTATTCGTTTTTCTCGATTCCTTCAGTTAATATTATTATCTATTTTTCTTGGTCAGAAAGCGTAACTGATTCCACACTCACAAGGATATTACATTTTAATGCTAGATAGTAAAACTGAAAACAAAACGACCGAACTTCCAAACAGAATAATAGAATAATACTATACATGATATCAGTCAGCACGGATTTTAATAATTATTTTTCGTTTGAGGTTTATATTTGCTTTTAACAAATTTAAAAGATTTAAGAAAAACACACACACACGATAACAAACAATACATATTTGCTTTCTAAAATTATACGATTTCATTGTCATTATCAGTATATCTGCATTTATTTTTCTAATTTCCAGATGAATTTGAACATAAACTATCCAACGTATTCTGAACGAATCAGGCTTTCCCAAAGAGTTTTTTGGTCGATAGAATTATTTTATGTATATGAAATGACGTGTGAAGACGCGGCACTCGAAACCTATCAAGAAAAAACAATATATATATATGTATATGTGTGTGTGTGTGTGTGTGTGTGTGTATATATATATATATATGTATATATATATATATGTGTGTGTGTGTGTGTGTGTGTGTGTGTGACTTAAAGTGGTCGACACCAGGGAAGGAGTATACATATGTACATGGCCTTATGACTGCGATTCAGCAGACTGTTGAAATGCAGTCATAAGGCCATGTGCATATGTATACTCCTATATCATAAATATAGTATAATTAAACCTATATCCTATCATGTATATATATAAATATATGTGTGTGTGTGTGTGTGTGTGTGTGTGTGTGTGTGTGTGTGTGTGTGTGTGTGTACAAATCCGTGGGTAAATAATCCAAGTAGATCCTATTAATATAAAATATTAAAACTTATCCACAAAAGAGAGCTCAATATATGTATTATAGAGCATATTTTTTTCTTGAACAAATGTATTTGCATTGACAAATTCTATAATGGTTTCATAAGTTGGTCTAGCTAGAAACCATGGCAGCATAAAACTCAGTGTTATTTTATATCTTAAATTGCACTACATTTTCGCTTTTTGAAAATTGTATTGAGCACTCTCTTTATTTAGCTGTTGCTTTGGCAAATATTATATATATATATATATATATATATATATATATATATATATATATATGTACATTTACAAAAATGTTCTTATATGTAATTTTTAAGAACGTTTCGAAATACAGCTATTCCAAAGGAAAGTATTCTTTTTCTAAATTAATCTATTGCATTAGTAAAACTAATTTTGTGATTAAGTGATATTATCTCGTGGGGATGGAGGGATGAGGAAACATTGATTTATTGCTAATAATCTTACGCAATTTCCTTTTTAATTAGTATCCAATTAGATGATAAATGTTAATCAATTATTAGACTATAAAATTAAAAAGAAAATTTCAATTACACTTTTTCTTACTAATTCCTTTTATTCCGTTCAATAGTGTACTTGAATTACATTTTGGGGGAAGGAAACCAGATAAATAACGTCTTTTCTGTCGTATCTCCTACCAGAAAATAAATTCTGTCGTATTTCTTCCCGCTAGATAAATACAGCTCATTTCAGCCTTATGTTCTACCATCAATTAAATGCTGCTCTTTTCTGACGTATTTCTTACAACCAGATAAAAGCTGCTCTTTTCTACCGTATCTCCTACCACATGAAAAATACCGCTCTTTTCTGTTGTATTTCCAGCCACCAGATCAATGCTGCTCTTTTCTGCCGTATGTCCACCCACCAGATAAATGCTACGCTTTTTTGTCTACAACCAGATAAAAGCTGCTCTTTTTCTGCCGGATGTCTACCAGCCAGAAAAATGCAGCTTGGTGTGCTGCTTTTTTTACCGTATCTCCTACCACCTAATAAATATCGCTCTTTTCTGTCGTATTGCCACCCACCCGATAAATGCTGCTCTTTTCTGGCGTATGTCAACCCAGCAGATAAATGTTGCTCTTTTCTGCCTTATTTCATACCTCCAGAAAAAAGCTACTCTTTTATGTCTTATTTCATATCACACATAAATGTTGCACTTTTCTACCGTATCTCCTACTACTAGATAAATGCTGTCTTTTCTGTCGTATCTTCTACCACCAGATAAATTCTGCACTTTTCTCCCGGATGTCCACCAATCAGATAAATGCTGCTCTTTTCTTTCGTATCGCCTACCACCAGTTAAATGCTGCTCTTTTCTATCGTATCTCCAACCACTAGAGAATTGCTGTCCTTTTCTGTCGTATTTCCTACCACCTGATAAATACCGCTCTTTTCTGTCGTATTGCTACCCACCAGATTAATGCTGGCCTTTTCTGGTGTATGTCCACCGAGCAGATAAATGCTGCTCTTTTCTGTCATATTCCCTACCATCAGATAAATGCTGCTCTTTTCTGCCTTTTCTCCTACCAACAGAAAAAAAAGGATACTCTTTTATGTCTTATTTCATATCACAGATAAATATTAATCTTTTCTGTCGTATCTCCTACCACCAGATAAATATGGACTCGCAACTTCAATGTTGACCGTTTAATATCCAGTTTTTGCGTATCTTTCAGAGAAAACCAGTATTTAATTTTCTACAAAGTAATTCAAGTAAACTTCTTATTGTTTTGTGTACTGTGTCTCTTCAGAACGTAGACGAGCATGTCTCTCCACAACTTCCTATCCTTTATATTTCACAGTAACCTTTGTTTTTTCCCCCATCTCTCCTAGTCCCTGTTGTGTCATCTATTTACGCAAGCTCCTTAGTTATTTTACTCGCTACATTTTTTGTCCCTCTTGTAGTCCTGGGTATGACGATAAACTGCATCCGATAGCAAGGCCTCTGCTCTGGATATTAGAGGTTTTGAGGATCGTAGAACCATCAATCGTAGATCGTAGAACAATTGCTGTTGTTCCCAGGTCCAGGGTTGTAGCACCCGTTAGGGTCCCAGCAATGGGCAGATAGTGAACCTCCAAACAAAAACAAAACTCCATGAAAGTATAAAAATACATTTACAAACAATATATTTTTATATAAAAAAACATACCAAAGATACATATTTATAGCAAAATAACTAACAATATATTTTATCTTATTTAGTTGAAGCCATAAAGTTGTGTTAAAATATTTAGATTTCGGCATAAAATAATACATAGAGATTAATATGTCTCTAAACAAAATCAACCAACTGTCTTGCCTGTGAGTGTCAAATTCTCGAACCCTTCTTTCCTCATTATGTGTCCGAGAAATTTCAGCTGTCTCTTTTTTATTCTAAGTACAAGCAAAATTTCGTTTCTATTTTCCGTAAAACTTGCCTGTTACTCACATGTTCAGTCGTATTCTTAGCTTCCTTTTGTACAACCAACATTCCTGTCGCCTTAATTCTGTTCTTCATCTGTGAAGAGATTGTCCAGTATTCACTGCCATTTAGAAGGACCAGTATTGCGTAGCAGTTCAGTACTCTTTTCTTTGTTTCAAACGAAATTTT